TAAAAAACAATGGATTCTCATATATAGGACAGATATTACATGAAATGTACGAGAAACTTTTAAATTATGACACACCATTAACTTTTGATATTGAACCAGGAGGATCAGTAAAATGGCTTATAGATTATGATAACGAATTTCAGAATATTAATATAGTAGCTCAGAAATTTAATAAAGAAGCACAAGCCTGGACCACAGTTGATGAATATGCAATGTATCATTTTGAAAAATTTATATATTTTTCTTGTTGAATAGTCCCTTTATCAAAATCAACTGACCATCCAACAATAGACTGATCTTCTTTACTATGAGTTATAAAAAATTCGTAATTGGGCTACATCTTATTTCGTAAATATAGCGTCCATTATGTGGTATAACGCTTTTGACATTTGTGTATGTATAATCATTCTCAATGGTTGGTTTTTCTTTTTTATCTATTAATGGGTTAAAAGTTTTTTGTTCGGCAGTCACTGTTAATTCTATATGATCGTTTATTTTTTCTTCCATTTTCTTTTGTTTCTAATTTTTCTTTCCGGTGGTATACGTACTAAAATCTTTATTTGAAACTGGTAAAACAATAATGTAACATAACATTTTTAAATCGATTTTTATGCCAATCGTCTAATACTAATACAGATTTTTAAATTCTTATTAATTGTTATAGAATTTGAGCGAGAATGCTTTTTTTACATCTTTTTTCTTCGTTTAATGTTTAGTTAGCGTGATAAAGATAATCGTTGATTTGTTTATTTACTTTATAAGAAAAGCATCATTTTCTATTATTATTAATTAATCCAATGATTATTGTTCAACTAACTAAAAATGCTTTAAAAAAAAACGTTTTGTTAGATAGTACCATGGATTTGTTTACTTTTTGAGAAAAGCATTATTAAGAATTGATTATTCACTTACTTTTTAAGAAAAGCATTATGCGCTAAAAATGCTAAAAAACAAAATACTGTGCATCTAATTAATTTGACAATTGGATTGATTATTTCGTATACTTTTTAATTGAGAAAAAGCATTATTGTTTAATTGATTGGTTGACAATTGAATTGATTATTGTTTATTACTAAAAATAATAAACATTTTAAATGACTTGGTTGGTTTCTTGTCAATAACAATAAGGAAATTATTTGTGAATTGTACACCTTCAAAAAAGTCTTGGGGAGTTTTTTTTTTAAACAACAAAACGATCAATCCCTGTTTTTAATTATGACGACAGAGAATCTTCTTTGCAATTTTCCAAAGGACTTTAAAGATAGAATAACCTTTCGGTTGCCATCACATTTTTTTTAAAAAAAAAATAAACTTCTGCCAGTTTCTTAAAAAATAAAATAATCTCTTCACACCTTGATAATAATAAAAAAAAATGTCTGTGATACTTACTGCCATTGTGTTTGTCAAATCCATCAGCTGAGTCAGAGCCCTCAGTGGGGTGGCAACAGTTAGATTAGACGACGAGGAGTATTTGGATTTCTAATACAAGGCATTTAAATCAGGCGAAGGAAGCCTTCTGAGCCCATCTAAGCGAACACATGCATGCTGCTTGTTGAGAGATATGTTTTCAAGTTCCAATTATATGTGAGTGCAGCGAGTGTCTTTTGGTTTATTGTTTTCTATCTTTTGCTCTTTTGTTTATTAAAAAAATAACGTCGCCTTTGCCTTTAGTTCAGGTTACGCTAATCAAGACAACATTCCTTGATTTGAAGATGCTGGGTGATATGCCAAGTATAGAAGATTTGCCAATCAGCCCTTTGTTCGGTATGGCAACCGGTCCATGTTCTACGCCTCCAAGAAGCCAAGACGGAGGAAGTTACTTCACGTTGTCCCATAAAACTTATAGTGCTATTACTGGCACGTATGTGGTGATGGACATTCCATGCCTTTACGATCCTGATAACAGCCGTCATAGCAACGTAGCAAACACCACAAACAGCAAAGCCATTTTTCCACGTCGAGAGAACTGTTCGTTAGCAAGAATCTCGTGCAAAATATTGCATCTGATATTGAATGGACGTATCCGCCCGTGGAAAGAGCCACCGCCAATGAAGGAAGCAAAGGGTCCTGATGCAAGAAGCTGAAATTGAAGCACTTAGACTTTGAGGAGAAATACATGTAGGGTCCGGGAACCAAAAAAGAAGGTCCACGAACTATCATTATGATGGTTATAATGGAGAGTCGAGTGCAAGCGCGCAAAAAAGTGGTACGGCTACAAATTGCAAAGAGCAGGAAACACCTCGAGGTTGACCAGATTTGCAGATGCGGTGACGTTTAACAACAAGAGGAAAGGTCGCAAAGAGGATGTCGAGAAATTGGTGGATTCTCACAAGGAAAAATCTTGTGAAAGCTCCGACACCGAATAATCTTTAGTTTCTTTTTTTTTTTTAAGCATGAAATGTTTATTCTATATACAATAAGAATTATCATTAATAGTTTTTCATATTTTTAGCCCGTGTAGGTAATTTATTATAAAAATTATCGGGTAGGTCCTATATAATCACTGGCAGAAATAAACAAACTTATTTTTGCAACTTTATATTATAATCATGTGATACAATCAGTTTATCGTTTAATAATAAGTCGGACCTACTTGATAACAAGAACTTGAATTGCTAGCAGTAAAAACCGATTTTACAAAATTAAAGACATCTATCTATATATCTATTTACCTACCTACCAATATTGTAAAGGGGAGGTCCTTGCAATATTCGGAATTAATTTTTGAATTAATAATTTTGATTGGTCGATTGTAAAATATAATGTGTGCAACTGAATCAAAAATTTTTTAAAGTTTAATTTCATTAGTAATTTTTTTTTTCAATGATTATGAATTGATAATAATAATAATGGCACAAATTAACAAAGATTTAGATATAGTTGTATTTGGAGCAACAGGTATGTTAAAATAACTATAGTTTTTTAAAAAAGTTGCATGCAACCTTGAAATTTTACAAAAAAAAAAAAATATAAAGAAAAATAGTTTATTCTTTTTTTTTCTCCTTATCTGAAAAAAAAATTTGAATGAATTATAAAGGTTTCACTGGTCGATTTGTTGTTGAGGAAATATGTCGTACAGCAAGTGACATGAATAAGTTGAGGTGGGGAATTGCAGGACGTTCAGAACAAAGACTTCAAGAGGTATCCAATATTATAGGTGTTGCTAGTGGAAATAGTGTTCGGCAACCAGAAATTATTATAGCAGATGTTGAAAGACCGGAAAGTTTAAATAAGATGGCAAAAAGAGCTAAAGTTGTAATTGCATGTGTTGGTCCATTTTTTCTTTATGGTGAATCGGTGGTTAAAGCTTGTATTGAGAATGAAGCTAATTATGTTGATATCGCAGGCAATAATCAATTTATTATTTTAGTAATGATTTTGTTTATATTTATATATAGATTATGTAATGGTGATTCATACATATAAATATTAATTACATACTTTTATCATATATATATATATCCTCTTTAAATATATAAATTATAGGCGAAACTGAATTTATGGAACGTATACAATTAAATTATAATGAGCGTGCAAAAACGAAAAATTTATCAATAGTAGTTGCATGTGCATTTGACAGTGTAATAATAATATTAATAAATAATTTTGCTACTATTTTTTAAATAATCATCAGTTAATCCTTTTATTTTTTATTTTTTTTTTGATGGTTAATATGAATATATATAGGTCCCAGCTGATTTGGGTATATTATTTACAAAACGTCTATTAGAATCACAAGGAGCAATTCCTTCTCAAATTGAAATGTTTACAAGCGTTCACTGTGGTAAAGCTGGTTTAGGAGTTAATTTTGGTACATATGCGTCTATAGGTAATTATAATAATAATCATAATTACAATAAATTTTATTTTTATTATTTTATTAAATAATATTAATAATATTTACCTACATAATGAACGATGCAAAAACATTATAGTGCATGGTATTAATAATGTTGAGAGATTACGTGAATTAAGAAAAAATGCCAATCGGCCTAAAGTTCCTAGAATTGGACCACCATTAGAAATCATTCGATCACATAAATGGGATGATCAAGTAAAGGGATATATTTATCCATCATTTCTTACCGATCCAAGTATAATTAGGTTGAGTCAAAGCTTAGATATTGAATGTCAAACAGGTGTGCCACCAGTTCAACTTGCCGCGTATCTTGTGTTTCCTAGTTTTAAAAATTTGGCAAAGATGGTGTTTGCAGGAGCTTTATTCAAATTTCTTGTTAAATTTTCTTGGGGAAAATCACTATTACTAAAATATCCTAAAGTATTTACTTTTGGTAAGTTTTTTTTTTTTTTGAAAAATTTACATATATAATATTTTATTATTTGATATAATATATATATATATATATATATCGACACAGGCACTTTTTCACACAATGGACCTACGCTTGAACAAATCCAACAAACAAGTTTTACTCACAAGTTTGTTGCGAAAGGAATTCTTATACAATCAACAACAACAAATCTTAATCTTCATGATGATGATTTAGAATCAAATGCTTCATTTGAGAGATTGTTACCACCACCATCAGAGTTAGAGATTGTTACTGAAGTTACAGGACCAGAACCTGGATATGTAACCACACCGATATGTGTAGTTCAATGTGCTTATACCATACTAAAAGAAGGTGGCAATGTCCCAAAAGGTGTTTTAACTCCTTCTTTAGCATTTGGTAAAACTTCCTTGATTCAAAATTTAATGGAATATGGAATTAATTTTCGAGAAGTTGATAAATCTTAATTATGTTTAAAATAATTTTTTTTTTTCATACTATAATCTATAAAATATTTATTTTGATGATTAAAACCCCTCCTTTATATCAAATTTTCTCATTTCTTTAATGTACAAGTATAACAATAATTATAATTTTAAATTTTATTAATTTTAATATATTAATGAATGAATTATTAAAAAATCAATTAAATAAATATTCTAACCCCCCCCCACATTTAATTATATAATACACGATAATTTAATAAAACTATAAAGCATTATGATATGTAGCGTTCGATGCAATTGAACGGCCATCATCATCATAATTATTATAGTGTGATAATCTGTCATTATTGTGAAATGACAATAATCTGTCAAGTTTTTCTTCCATGGAACTAATTTTGGATCTCAATTCATTTTGAACATGCCGACAATTTTCACTACAACTACTACTAATATTGTTATCATTATTTTTTACTTTTTTATGGTCATCGTTTTTAAATTTATCATAATTAATATGCTTCAATTTTCTTGATTTCCATTTATTAACTTCTTCAATGTTAATTTGATAATAAATATTTTTTGGAAACCAATCTTGATTTCTTTGTTGTGATGAACTAATAAAAAATGTTTCCACTTCTGCTATTAGCTCAGCTCTCAATTTAAGAAAAGCTTTTTTTCCATTATATTTAGCATCAGAAACAACATCTGACATGATTGCGATCATAATATTCTGCATAACAATAACCAAAAAAAAACTAGCAAAAAGTGTTATTATTGTAACCGGCAAAAAATCCCAATGATCAATTTGATCCCATTGACCATTCGTCCAGAAATAAACCGCCTTCGCAGATGAGAAAAAATCGTCAAAATAGTTATTTTCAACATTTTCAGTTATCACCAAGTCGTTTTTAAATAATGTTTGTGATGGATCCCTAAGTGTAAATGATGTACCTTGAGGTGCTACGCCTATAAGTTCAGGTCTACTTAACAATAAATACCTACATTTGAAAAATATCTGATAATTAGTGTTTTTGTTTTGGTGACATTTGAACGAGAAAATAAATTTTTTAACTTACATTGTATGGGCAAATCCGCAAACAATGAGAAGCATTACTCCCAAGAAAGGAAAAATCTTTTTCAAAAGATTCAATATAACGAAAACATAAATACCGATTACTAAAAAATAAAAATCAAAAGAATTATCAATTTTACTGACTATAAAAAGTAAAAACGAAACAAATAACTTCATTTGATTGTCCTTACTTGGTAAAGATCGCATTCTCAACAACTATTAGTTTAAAAATAAAATAAAATAAATTTCAAATATAAAACCAAATTAAAAATAAAAAATAAAATAAATAACCTACCAATTCGAGCCATAATACTAAGATGGTCATTGATAAAAATATCAATAAAGGTCTGCTTATAGGAATATTTTCAAAACCGTTAGTTGTTTCATCTTGAGCCATGGACATTAAGAGTGATCTTAGAATGAGAACAGTTCCGGCCATTGGTAGAACACAAGCCATCACATCAAATAAATTGTACAATCTAATGTATTTTCGTGCCAACAATAGGCATTGTTGGATCTCAAGCACCAATAAAACGGTTCCCATACTGATTACAATAACCACTGATGGAATCATTGCAATATAAAATAATATATCTGTTGCTTTTATTTGTGTTACATAGCCGTAACAAATAAATCCGAAACATAATTGATAGAATGAGAATAGTAATAGCAATCCATAAATGTAATTACGAGCATATTTATTCCATTTGAATTCTACTATAGCTTCCATGGCAGGATTATCATAGATAATGTCATTTGTATCGGCTAATACCATTCTCAAGAAACGACTTTTTCTATTGAACCTTAACAGTATGCTTCTCCCGCTTGCCTCTTCATCTCGTTTCGGCACTGTGAAATTTGGTAATGGTACCATGCATGTCATAATTAATGGAGTTGCATCATCGATGTTTCTCTCGTTTCTCTCATGTTTTGAAACTTGATTTGTCAATCTTGTGGGAATATCAAGAAGTGGTTTCGCGATAATTAGTTTCTCTGAGGTTCGCAGTGATATGGAATCCATTTGGACTGGAATATCTTTTAAACCACATTTTCTTCTGATAAAGTTTCTAATTTTAATCCAAAATTTTTTCGCTGTAGATGAAGGAGACCTTAAATTTCCAGAAATCAGATGTGCTGCTTCCTTTGAACCGAAAATCTGTCAAAATTTGTATCGTTAATGAATGAATATCCAATAATAAATAGACATGCAAGCAATTATAAAACTTACCGGCTGATCGAATAATCCTACAACATATTCTAAAATAACATAATTATTATAAATTATAAATTTATAATTTAATTTATAATTGAATGTAATTTTTAATTCACCCTACCTTTATAATTTCGATAAAGAAAAAGTAATTCTTCGGAGACTGTTGACATCCAACCAATATTATCATTTGCAAGGGCAGAGTAATAAGTGACCAACTCTTTAACTATACCGGGATTTTTAGTTAAGATTGCAAGATGCAAGTCATTTAATTTTTTTTTAGTTGAAGATCGTTTTTTAGGAGTTCCAACAATAAATGTTTCCTGACATTCTTCTTCCGACCAACCGAGTTTACGTGGAATATGCAATTTATATTGCTGTTTATCTTTCAATATATAACTAACCAATTTACATCTTGAAACTATTAAATGAGCCATAATACATTCTTTGGTGTCAATTAGACGCCATTTTTGTGGATGTTTATCAATAAAATCTTTTAAAATTTTAATAGTTTCTTGAATCGTTTTTTCGAAATATCTTTTTCTTCTATTTGATAAATTTTTGGCATCGTTATGTTTATCGTTAAGAAATTTCATGGAACGACAAACTTCTTTAATGTAATTGTTACTTCGTGGTAATTTTATTTCTATATCATCATTATTATTATTATTGGTATTGGTTGAATTGATTCTTAGTACATAAGAATTATATTGATGTTCTTCAAATATTATTTTAGTTATATTAGAATTGTAATTATTGGGAAGGGTCCAAATGTATAATAAAGATTTCCCTTTTTCCCAAACTTGCACGGACTGACAACCAATTATAAGTTGCAAGGTTTTTTTTACGTTCAACCAAATTGTAGTTTGGACTCTAGACGAGGAATCCCAAGGCTCGCTATCTTCAACGATCAAATTTGCAAATTCCTGAGATTGCTTAGCATCATTATCATCAAAAGTATCCAAAAGTTTTCCAAAAAGATCATAAATTTCATATCTAATTTTTTTTCTATCGGTAATAATCATCATATTTCTTACAATTTTACAAATTATTGTTGGTTTGAAACCGTTATGGTAATAGCTGTCATTACTATTATTGTCGAATGGAATTAGATCAACACCCGGATTTAAAGAAGGATAAACGAGAAAGTTTGAAAATAATCCAATTGGTCTATTATGATTTTCTTGTTTTCTACGTAGTTTATTATCATTGTCATCATAAATATTTTCAGAATCATCTTCATTGCAGTTAAATAAATCCCAAACAGTAGTATAGATGGTGTCATGTTCTTCTTGAGTTACAACAGCAAGTTTATTATCATTATCAAAAAATGTCATGTCAATAATCCTTGCATTTTTAAATTTTTTCATTGCAATATCCAAACCATTTTCAATTAGGAAGATACTAACTGCTTGCTTACATAATGTGACTGCTAATAGTTTTGAATTTTTGGATATGGTGATAATTGGTGTTTTAGCAGGAAAATTACTACAATTTGGACTTTGAAGGATATTTTCCAATTCGAAATCAATGCCGTGGTTTGGATCAAGATTATACATCTCGAGGAAATGGTGTTTTTTAGCATTTTTACGTAAAAAGAAAAAATCCTTGACAATGATTCTGTTCAATAAAGCAAAATTTGCCTTTATATCGTGAGTTCTTATTTGATTCAAGATTATTGACGAGTAATTATAATAGTGATTAGTGAATTTATCGTGTTTTGTGGAGGAGAATGGAGAGGAGAATACCAATCTGTGAAATCCTGATCCTCTTAACAAAATTAAAGTATTAGAATTGATAAATTTTATAATCCCGCCACCCATATTATTATATATTGATATTATTGATGATGGCGTGTTTATTGATTTATCAGTCCCAGTTGAAAAAATGTATGTCGGCGCTTTTTTAGTTGGAAAAACTAATTTTTGTGGTGATGGAAAATAATAATGATTATTATAATTGTGGTTGTTTATTTGTTGTTGATTTTGGTTCTGCAGTTGTTGTTGTTGAGGAGGAGGAGGAGGAGGAAGAGAGGAGGAAGAGGAAGAGGGAAAAAAATCAGCTTCACAAAGATATGACACAGCAATTAATGCATGACCTTCTTCATTTCTGTCAGATATGGCAACTGACCAACCAGATTCTTGATTAGAGATTATGTGTTCGTTTGGGGGATAAAGGTATTCACGTATTAAGATTCGATCCATATGTTTCGAATTAATTCTCCATATTTGTAACCTTTGACACTCTATAAAAAAATAATAATAAAGTGATAAAGAAGAAATTATCATTATTATATTAATATATTAATATCAGATATGTAATATAATTATACACAAATTTTTACCAATATCAAACGTTAAAAGCTCTTCGCCATTTGGACTGACATTGATGAAATATTTTTTTATAGGTGTCATATTTTATGATGATGTAGACGGTGATTAATGGTTGATATTCTAAACTTCATTAATTAATGGGTTAGAAGAAAAAGGAGAGAAGATCAAGAAGATCGAAATGTAACAAAAATGAAATTGATAAAATTAAAGAAAAGAAAAAGATACAAGCCGAAAAATTTTCGAATTGCTAATTATTAAATACAATAATAATTGTACAATGCTTTTTAGTGAAACATTAATATCGGGAATATCATAATGAAATGGTTCCATTTTTAGAAATCCCTATGAGAATGAACAAATTTTTTTAGATTATTGTTTACCTTAAAATTCTAAATAAGCATATTGAAGATGCAATTCGAAAAACAACACTTTGTTACTTTTACTTTTTATGTTTTTCTTTGACAAATTTACTTTTGCGCCTTTAAAAAATCTGGCTTTTTAATTTGGCCCGATATAATCACAATAAGAACTTCCTTTAGATTTTTTTTTTTGTATTGCATATCAGATGTGTATGTATGATGATGGCGAATACATGCGGGGGTTCGTAAATCTAGCATTATCATTATAATTAATTTACGAGGAGAGATAAGAAATATAAAAGTATTTTATACTCCCGATGGGAAAAAGTCATTATTTATTATACTGATACAAAGAAATAAATAATCACTGACTGACGCCGATGTTTTTATAAACAGTTTTGGTTTAGTTAATTGCTTTGGTGCATGCATTCAAAGAAAAGCCTGAATAATAATTATTTTATCTTTCTCCAATATATATATGTATGTATGCGTATTATATGGTATTATATTATAATATTAAGGCTAATTTATTGTTGTATCTTTTGCGTTATATAAAGGAAATATTGAAAGATTGAAAAAAAAAAAATTTTTTTGAAAGCAAAAAAAAAAAAAAAATTTTATATTTGATTGTAATTATTTTAATTAAATTACACGTAATAAACACTAAATCTCATAAATTAATTTTAAAATAAAATAAACTCGAAAATAAACTCGAGAATAAACTCGAGAATAAACTCGAAAATAAACTCGAGAATAAACTCGAAAATAAACTCGAGAATAAACTCGAGAATAAACTCGAGAATAGACTCGAGAATAAACTCGAGAATAAACTCGAGAATAAACTCGAGAATAAACTCGAGAATAAACTCGAGAATAGACTCGAAAATAGACTCGAGAATAAACTCGAGAATAAACTCGAGAATAAACTCGAGAATAAACTCGAGAATAAACTCGAGAATAAACTCGAGAATAGACTCGAGAATAGACTCGAGAATAAACTCGAGAATAAACTCGAGAATAAACTCCAATGTTTATCAGAAACGAAACATTACTTTCGGCAACAACACTTTTATTATTCCAGACCTGGATAGAAGTTTTATTAAAGATTACTTCTAATTTTGTTTAGTATATTTTTTAAAATTTAAAATAACAAACGCGTAAAATATTTTGATATAAAAAATGCTATTCCTTTAATGTCTTTTACATGAAATCATATTATATTAATATGAGTACATTACATTTATTTTCATGTTCAAATTCTATCAAAATAATTCTAATTTTGTTTAGTATATTTTGTATATTTTTTAAAATTCAAAATAACAAACACGTAAAATATTTTCAGCATATTTTGATATAAAAAATGCTATATATTTATATCCGTTCACATTATATTAATATGAGTTCATTACATTTATCTTCATGTACAAATTATATCAAAATAATTCTAATTTTGTTTAGTATATTTTTTAAAATTCAAAATAACAAACGCGTAAAATATTGTTCAACATATTTTGATATAAAAAATGCTATATATTTTAGATCAATTCATGTTATATTAATATCAGTTCATTACATTTATCTTCATGTACAAATTATATCAAAGTAATATTAATATCAATTTATTACATTTATCTTCATGTGCAAATTATATCAAAATAAAAATTAATATTAGCAAGTGCATTTTTTTTAACTTTATATTGGTCAGTCTAAACTCATGTGACTTGAATTTACGTGACTTGCATAATTAATAATTTTCAATTACGAGTACCTAACAACTACCCTATGAGAAACCAGATAATGAAAAAAAGGTTTAAATTTATTAATTAATTACAATAATGAATTCATAAAACTAATATTTATAAACTACATTAAATTTCCTTACAATGATAATACTCATTTGAAATATTTACTATCATTGTTATTTTCTTCATCCTATCTCAACTAATTTTTCGCTCAAATAATAAAGGCAAATATGTTAATTAATGACGTACAAGTCAAACCTCGTCACAGCGGACCTCACCACAGCGGATTTCTTGTTACAACAGATTTCCCCTTTTTTTAATTAAAAATGTTTGTCATAACGGATTTTATTTAACAAATTTGTTCCACAATGTTAACGGGGTCTTTCTATATGGCTACTAGTCTCATGACAGCGGATTCACGTGATATATAAATTATGAAATTACCAATGTTCACTTTGTCTGGTTTTGTTGCAGTATGTCCCATATTATAAATTACATTATATTAATATGTATATTTCTTCAGCACTATGTTTTTAAAAAAAAATTTTTTAATCATTCTACATTGCAAGTATTTTAAGTTTGTAAAGATTGTTAACAGAAGAAATATATTTGATTACAGAAGAAATATTTGATTGCAAATAAAAAAAAAAGTACAGTGTAAAAAGTGTTAAAATCCTAATTTAGTAATAATTGTCTTGACTAGACTTGTATGACTAAATAGTTTGGCCAAGTGCTCATTTGAGTTATGCAGCCAACTTAAAAAGTTAAATGTAATCATGAAGGAAAATATCTATCTAGCCAAAATTTTGGAATCAATAAGATCATCACCAGCTAAATATGTAAAGAAAAATCAAAACATATCCAGAGAAACTTTATACATTTCTGGAGAAACATTGAATATTAAACCACAAATTGTTTTTTTACTGGGCAGTAAGTAGCTTTGTAAGTTCGTATGATAACAGGCTTGTCTTTTGCAAAATTTGGGTAGAGTCAATTTCAGCTTAACAATTTCAGCAAGTAAGAGGATACCATTTCCAATATAGTCAAACTTGTTAAATCTACGACAGCAACTGAAGCCAGTATGTTCATATGCATATTCATATTAATATGAAATATAATTTATCGTATAGATTTAATGCTTCAAAAACAAAAAAAATGCTAATTACCTTCTTAATTAGTTTAATAAATGCGATTTTAATTATAAATTATTTACACTGGCCGAAATTCCAAAAATTTGCATTCATATTCAAATTTTCCTAGACGTTCTAAAAATCTCAAAATTTACATGCATATTCATTCATCAAAACCTTAATCTATATTTTGATAAAAATGTATGCATAGTTATTATGTGAGTTTTTGCATGTTTAGTAAAAATAGGTCTCCAAATACTTTTGTCCGGGACATTTAAAGTGGCGGACAGTCCGAGACGGGACAGTCCGTGTCCGCTGACAACACTGTTTTGAATTAAACATTAGCAAATTTTCTTGATAATATTGTTCTTATAATATTTTTTTAAAAATCTTTAATCATAATACATTGCAAATATTCAAGTTTTTATAAAGATTACATCAAAATATATATTTGATTACAGAAGAAATATTTGACATGACGAATAACCTAAATTGAAAATATTATTATAGATGTTATGATATGAGATTGAAAAATTTCAAACTTAAATCATTAAATTATATAGAAATATAATGAAAAATAAAAAAATTTGGTAATAGTTAAAACGATTAAAACAATTAAACATTCATCATTACAGTAAGTTACTTTTGCCACTAACTATTGTTTATTATAAGTACTAACTACCCGGTGTTGATAAAGGATATCATAATATCAGTGTAAGAGCTCTTAAACATCTGACCCAGTTCTTTCGAGTATAAAATTTCCATAATATGTGCAGATTAAAAAGTTAAATGTAGAAAAAAAAATACCAATACAAAATTAATATATCCATCTAGCCAAAGTTTTGGACAAAGCTTACGCAGAGCTTTACAACAGTTAAAATAAAGATTTTAACTAGTCAAATACAATACACACCATCTGGAATCATTACACTACTGCATTTATCATTAATCACTTTATTGAAATAATCGAGAGATAATGGAGTTCTTGTGTAAATTTCTCATAAAATTTCATATGCGACCACCATTAATCATGTAGAGATCCTTGCTAACTCACACATACAAGCTCTATGATGAAATGGTGCAAGTCCATATTTTTGATAATGATCTGGCGCTGATGAATAGTAACCACAAACTATTTCAAAAGTTTTTATTTTCTAAAATAATATATCTTGCCATTTTTAATATCTAACCGAAGATAAAGTAGATGGTATCAATTTTTTTAGTTTTTTTATTTATAAACGAGTGAAAAAGAATCTTTTAAATTTTATATTACTCACATGCAATGATTGCTACAGGTTCTTTTGAGACATCTAAAATATTGATAATTAAATCATACTAGTAAAATAAAATTGCTATGACATAATTGTAAAAGACAAAATTATTGTCTTCCGATTTTGTTGATTGTAGAATAATCATCTTCCAGCTCAGCAACAGTCTATGCGTCCTATATGAAGGGTAATGTTTTCTATCCACAACATAAATTTCAATTACTATTCCTAAAGAATTTACTGTAAATGTTACGCTATTGAATATATATTATATTGCTTACCTACTATAAAAATGAATTATGTGGCCTGATTATGATTTGTGTTATTATCCTTATAAGACATCAAATTATAAATATCATTGATAAGTTGTGAGTGAGTTAAATGCGATTTCTGGTCAATTATTACAATACAAAGAGTAACAATTGAATATTTTTATTTTTTATATTCCAAACTTGTATAGTTATAGCTATATCACTTATCACTTTACAATTACTACAGTCCCCCAAAAAAGTAATGGCGGTGGGATTATTATGCAAAATTTATCATAATAATATTTTATTTTATTTAACCAAAATATATAAA